AAAGACGTTTCGAAGCTGGCGCATCAACGCTGTGGAATTTAAGACAGTTGTGTGTGCGTAGTAGGGGCGGGATCAGGGATGGAAATATGAAACATCTGGAAAAACTAGGCCTTCCCCAGTTCTTCCCAAAGGCGCCCTTCCCTTTCTGGTCTCTGTGCTGAAAATCAAGATTTGGGGTGTTTGCTCCTGCTTCAATAAAGGCCTTATAGAAGTCTTTTACTTTTGTAGGCCACTTTTTTTTAACAGAACTCCTTTAACCTTAAACTATCTGCTATTGTTCTCACCCCATTCCTAAGAGGAGCATGCATAAATGCACCATCGTGCCTACCGTTCCGGTCCACATTTATTGGTATCTATTTCCTGTATTCGTACTCATGATTATTCTTATACCTATTATCTTGTAAGAGGTTGACAAATCAAATAAATAAATAAAGTTCTGGAGAACCGTTGGGGTCACCAGATCTTCAGAAGATCCATCCTATCTCTGATTTGGCCACGTTCTCTAGGGCAGCTGGGAAGAAGATAATTTCTAACCAGCCTGTCCCAAGAATGTTGTCTTGTAGATAGCTTGGACTTCAAATCCCAGAATTCCCAGCTTGGATGGACATGCTGGAGATGGAATGAATGGAAATACAACACAAGGTGCAGCTTATACCCTTTAATAACACAGCCAGGAAGGAGGCTGATTTGTCTGCACCATAGACTAACAAGGTTCTCCTCCTACAATGACCAATTCATGCTAGACTTTATATATTTTTTTGATTTAGTCTTTATCCTAATTGGCTCAGCAGCAACAGGGACTAGCTGCTTTGGGGCTAATTTCACCATCACTTGGTACCTGTCCTCTTATAAATTAATTTCTGGGTGTGGTGGAGGAACGAGGGATGAGCTGTCACCTAAATTCTCCTTCAGTGTTCACAGTGCCTCCAAAGAGGTGCAAATGGAATATGAATTTTTCAAGATTGCCTCATCAAGAATTGGGTTCTTCCTTCCTTCCTTTCCTCCCTCCTTCTTTCCCTCCCTCCCATTTTTTTGTTCCTTCCATTTTCCTTCCTTCCTTCCTTCCTTCCTTCCTTCCTTCCTTCCCATGTTTCCTTCCTATCTTCATTTTTCCTTCCCTTTCATTTTTCCTTCCTTTCTTTTCATTTTTCCTTCCTTCCTTCCTTCCTTCCTTCCTTCCTTCCTTCCTTCCTTCCTTCCTTCCTTCCTTCCTTCCTTCCCTCCCTCCCTCCCTCCCTCCCTCCCTCCCTCCTTTAGAAGTTGCTTTGCAGGTAAACATGTTGAGCTGACATCCAAAACAACCCCACTTCTGTAAAGAAAGGGAAAATGTGGGTGAGGGGAGGGGTAGAGGCCATCGCTGGACATCAAAGTTTGCCCTGACACAAATTCCTCCTGAATAGTAATTTCTCCAGATTTTGCTACTTAGTAAAATCTTACCAAGGTCCTCCTCCATCCTCCTCCTCCTCCTCCCACAAAGACCTTCGTACTTGGCTCTAAAAGACAGAAGTCACCTCTTGGTTAAGTCCAAAAACGAAACCCCAAATGTCATATCCGAGCTCACTTTCACCTTCATGGGTGTGTCCTCAAGCTCTTTGTCCTTAGACGCAATCAACTTCTGACCAGAGGTTAAGGCCATAAAAAAGTAAAGGGAACAACTCAGCACTAAGGAGTTACTACAGAACGTTTTCATGCGAGACCAAAGGATAAGAAAAAGAGGAAAAAAAAGCCAAACCATGTGATTCCTTATGAAGAATTCAGCTCGAAGAAACAGATTAAGAGTTGGAAGGGAACTTGTAGGTCATCTAGTCCAACCCCCCACACACACTCACACAAGCAGAAGGCTCTACACTGTTTCTGACAGATGGCAGTCCAGTCTCTTCTTGAAAGCTTCCAGGGATGAAGCTCCCACAACTTCTGAAGGCAACTTCTGTTCCATTGATTGATTGCTCTCATTGTCAGAAAATTTCTCCTTATTTCCAGGTTGAATCTCTCCTTGGTCAGTTTCCATCCATTATTCCTTCTCTGGCCTACAGGCACTTTAGAAAATTACTTGACCCCCCTCCTCCTCTCTGTGTCAGCCCCTCAAATATTGGAAGACCACTATCCTGTCTCCCCTGGTCCTTCTCTTCCCTAGACTAGCCAGGCCCAGTTCCTACAACCGCCTATCTGTATGTTTCAGCCTCCAGTCCCCTCATCATCCTGGTTGCTCTTCTCATCACTCTTTCTAGAGTCTCAACATCCTTTTTTATAGTATGTCAGTAGCCAAGCATCTGAATTTTGATTATATGGCCATGGGGAGGCTTCAATGACCATAAGTGTGGAGAACGGCCCCAAGTCACTTTTATCAGTGCTGTTCTAACTCCAAACAGCCACTAAATGAACTGTTGTAACTTGAAGACTACATATACAAGTACATTCAACCATGTCTATCTTAGCAAGACCACACCTAGAGTCCTGCATCCAGTTTTGGTCACCACACTATGAAAAAAAGATGTTGAGACTCTAGAAAGAGTGCAGAGAAGAGCAACCAGGATGATGAAGGGACTGGAGGCTAAAACACACGATGAACAGTTGCAGGAACTGGGCCTGGCTAGTCTAGGGAAGAGAAGGACCAGGGGAGACAGGAGAGCAGCCTTCCAATATTGGAGGGGCTGCCACAGAGAGGAGGAAGGGGGTCAAGCTATTTTCTAAAGCCCCCGAAGGCCGGAGAAGGAATAATGGATGGAAACTGAACAAGGAGAGATTCAACCTGGAAATAAGGAGAAATTTTCTGACAATGAGAGCAATCAACCGATGGAACAGAAGTTGCCTTCAGAAGTTGTGGGAGCTTCATCCCTGGAAGCTTTCAAGAAGAGACTGGACTGCCATCTGTCAGAAATGGTGTAGGGTCTCCTGCTTGGAGCGGGGTGGGTTTGGACTAGATGATCTACAAGGCCCTTTCCAACTTTGTTAAATCTGTCTGTCTGTCTCAGAACAGCCAAGGTCTTCAAGACATCCACCCAGGGCAGGATGACTCTACATATTGGTGGGACCTCATTCGGAAGGCTGGCCCCGTAAGTGACAAGAGAGGCTTCTGGGATCTTGACAGATGACCCCATTGAGCTGAAGGAACATGCAGAAGAAGCATGCAAATTTGGGGCAGGGCTGAATAAGCCTATTGCCCAAGCGTGTTTTATGGTTTTCACGATTCCCAGAGTCCAGCCCAGCTATCTTGGCTTCTGGTTGCGGTTACTGCACCATGTGACTCAAGTTAATTAGGTAGATATACCTCTAGGCGACTCCCAAGTCCTAAACTGTCTGATGTCCCAACTTTTAAGCAGAACAGAGATATGGGAGCCATGTGGAGAATGTTTTAAAATATGGGTTTTTTTTGCAGGGGGGGGGGGGGCGCTGAGAAACAAAACGAAACTTTTGAAGTCTGGGAGCCCTGCGTGTGAAGCCGACTGCAAGGGGAGGAAAAATTGCTGTGATCTGAACAGATCTGAAAGTTGAAGATGGAATTTTGGAAGAACCCTGGAGGCTGGGAAGGAGGAGGAGGAGGAGGAGGGGGGGGGGGGAGGGGAGGAGGAGGAAGAGGAGGAGGAGGACGCTGTGGGAATCTCCCTGTCAGTTCCTTGGGAGTTCTCAACTGGGATGGTGTGGAAGAAGAAACAACTACAAAAGCATGAAAACAGGGGAAAGATTGAAAAAAAACAACGGCTCAACCTGGAAAGATAGACAATTGCAAACTTCCACCAACTCTTTGATGCCAAAAACATGCAAAGAACATCAGAGCAACTTCGCTTTTCTGAAGGAAAGTCCCTCCCTGCTACTTCTCCCCCACCCCTTCCTCTTTCAGGTCTGGAAGTTCCCATTTGTGCAAAGATCTGTTTCGGACCCCAGCCTTTCGATTCCTCTTTCCCAGCCACCGCTTCTCCACCAACTACATCGCGGGGCTCCCATCAACCAGCACGGGTTGCGTTTCCCACAACCGGCAAATCCAGGGACTGTCATTCCTGGGGCGAAGCCGAGAGATTCTCCCCACTCCTCACACCCTGAAGCCCAAAGGGAAGAAACCACGTTTTAGTCCTGGGTGCTTTGCAGCCAAGCTAGTCTCTTTCGGCCCGAGCCTACCCTGCAGGGTTGTTAGGAGCATCGCATGCTGGCGGGGGAAAATGATCCCGCCTGGATCCCTTTTGCTGGATGAAAGTGGAGCTGATCGAAGCCGCTTTTTCCTTGTTGTTGTTGTTAGTTGCGAAGTCGTGTCCGACACATTACAACCCCATGGACAACGTTCCTCCAGGCCTTCCTCTCCTCTACCATCTTCTGGAGTCCATTGAAGCTCACGCCGACTGCTTCAGTGACTCCGTCCAGCCCCCTCCTTCTCTGCCATCCCTTTCTTCTTCTTTGGCCCTCAATCTTCCCCAGCGTTGGGCTCTTCTTCTCCAGGGAGTCCTTCTTCCTTCTCATGAGGTGGCCAAAGTCTTGGGAGTTTCATCTTCAGGATCCAGCCTTCTAAAGAGCAGTCAGGGTGGATCTCCTCTGGGACTGACCAGTTGGATGGCCTTACAGTCCAAGGGACTCGCAGAATCTTCTCCTCCAGCGCCAGAGTTCAAAGGCCTCCATTCTTTGGCGCTCAGCCTTCCTTACGGTCCAACTTTCACAGCCATATATTGCAACTGGGAAAAATCACAGCCCTGACTCTACGCACTTTTGTTGGCAGGGTGAGGTCTCTGCTTTTTAGTAGGCTGTCTAAATTGGCCATAGCTTTCCTCCCCAGGAGCAAGGGTCTTTTCACTTCTTAGCTGCGGTCCCCATCTGCTGTGACCTTGGGGAGCTTTTTCCCTTACCGGAGAAGCCTCGCAACGGGGAGAGGCTCAGTGGGAGGGGAGTAGGTAGCCCCCCTCCCTTCCAGCTGGCTCCCCGTTTCCTGAAAGGACCCCTCCGGTTCCTCCCTTTCCCAGGAGCATCTGGGACCCCGCCAGCCTCCCCTTCCCAGCCCCGGACGGCGCCCCCCGCACCTGCTTGAAGTCGGCGGCCAGAGTAACGAGGGTCCCGTCGCTCTTGCGGAGCTCCAGGCTGACGCTGTCGGCGCCACTGTCCGCCTGCAGGCTCTCCTCCGTCACCTGCCCGTCGGGGAGCCGAACTCGCACCCGCAGCTCCGTGGGCGCCCCGGCCGCCCCGCTCAGCCTCGACAACAGCAGCAGCCAGCAGAGGAGCAGCGGGGCGGGGAGCCGGCCGTCCCCGCCGGCCCGAGAGAGCATCCCCGGCCGGAGGCGCAAGACGGCCGGGGATGGCCAGAGACGGGACTCCGGCGCCGCCGCCGCTGCTGCTGCTGCTGCTGCGTGGGAAAAAAAAAATAAAAGGAAAAAAAAGAAACTTTTCCCGAAGTTGCTGGGCTGCCGGCGGGGCTGGGCTGGGCGGGAGGGCGGACCGCTCCGGGGACCCGCCCGGGCTGTGGAGGAGACCCGCCCCTCCTTCGGCTCGCAGCTGCGGGGCTCCCCGGGTCCCCCCTCTCGGGACGCCCCTGGCCGCGGTTTTTTACCCCCCCCCCCCGCTTCGCCCCCGTCACTTCCTTCGCTTGGCCCGGCGGAGCGCAGCCTTAAAGCGGCAGGCGACGAGGCTCGGGGAAGAAGGGGCTTGCAAAGATCTCCCCCCCACCCACTCCCAGAGCTGGAAAATACCCGCCCTCGCCGCCGGGGAGGAGGGGGAGAGCGGAGTTGGGGAAGGGAGTTGGGGAGGCCAGCTTCCCACGTGGCACTCGGCCTGCGTGTGGAGCTCGGGTGGGCTTGGCAGGGGTGGGCTTGGCAGGGTGAGCCCGAGGTTGGCTTTTGCTCGGCGTCCTGGTTTTTTGTTTCCCCGCCCCGCGAGGCTGGAAAGGTTGCGGGGGTGTGGGGGGAGGATGGAAGGTCGTGGGAACTGCAGAAAACTTGGAAACGGGCGGGGCGTGGATGACCCCCCCCCGCTCCCCTCCCCCCTTTCTAGGAAGGAAGAAGAGACCCCCTTCTCCTTGAATTGTGGGTCTGCTCCCTTCTTTCAAGGAGGAGGGTGAGATTCTAAGCTGGTTGACCGGAAGCGAACGAGAGCCGGTCCATTTGTTTCTCCGCCTGCCGTGAAACAGAAGTTGACAAACTTCAACCCGACCGGTTTGGCTCAGCAAATAAAAGGGGTGGGAGCGGTTGAATTGGGGAAAGCCTGGCCAAATTGTCACCCCCCCACTCCCACCCGCCCGTTTGGATGGTGGCGCGGATGCTCCAATGGGAAGCTGTTGGGGTTTTTGGTTTTTTGGTCTTGGAGACCCTTCCAGCAGAAGAGAGAATATTTGTAGCTCCGGTTTGAAATGCGGGGGTCCTTGGGGGGGTCTCTGAGCTGGGTGGTTTTCTTGGGTTTCATGACCCAGCTAGGTAACGTCGTCAGTACTAGAAGGGAGTGGAGCTTGTGAGGAGGAAGCGGAGGAAGAAGAGGAAGACTTTGTGCTCTCTGAGCAAACGTTCTTGCTGACATTTCATGACCCAGCTAGGTAACATCATCAGTACTAGAAGGGAGTGGAGCTTGTGAGGAGGAGGAGGAAGAGGAGGAGGAAGAGGAGGAAGACCGTGGAGTCCTTTGTGCTCTGTGAGCAAACATTCTTGCTGACATTTCATGACCCAACTAGGTAACATTAGCAGAGCTTGAAGGAAAGGGGTTTACAAGTGGCTTGTTCTGTTCGTTGGAGTGTTGTTGTTCTTTTGTGTGGCATCCTCTCTGCGCTTCATTGTTGCAGACATTTCATGACCCAACTAGGTAACATCATCAATGCTAGGAGGAATGGGCTTCCGGCTTCAGAGTTGTCTTGCTGCTTCCAAGAAGTGCTTGCGAGACAAATCCTGCTTTCTGCCAAGGACAGAAAGAAGGATGCTCCTGGCAGCCAAAACACCATGTTCCTTGTTCCCTTTTTCAAACTTGGTTTATCATTGATAGGTTTTGATAGTGTTCCTCACCAGTGGGATGCTGGTTTGGCTGACGGGCTCTGCTGTCCTGAACCATCTAGAACAGTGGTCACCAACCAGTGGGCCGGAGACCACCGATGGGGTCAAGAGAAAATTTGGGTGGTCCGCAGAGAAATGTCACCCCCCAAAAGAAATGAATCCAGGCTGCACGGGAACACAAGGCTGCCTTGCCTACATGGCCTGTGGGAACACAAGGCTTGCGTCGCCTGTATTAGGAACAACACGAGGTAGTGAGGGGAGGAGGGAAAGGGCAGAGGGAGGGAACTTGCCCCACTCACCCCACGCGCCTGGCCTGGCCACCGGGCTGCTTCTTTCCGCTTCTTTCTTCTTCTGCTTTTGGCTGCACGCAAGGAAAGCAGCAAAAGTCTTTCTTTCTCTCCCCCAAACTCCGCCAGAAATGAGTCTTTGGGACCCTGCAAGGCCTCCTGATCCAAGAGGCTGCGCTGGCAAAGACTCCTTTCTGGCGGAGTTTGAGGGGAGAGAAAGAAAGACTTCTGCAGCTTCTGCTGCTTTCCTTGCATGAAGCCAAAAGTCTCTCTCTCTCTCTCTCTCTCTCTCTCTCTTTCTCTTTCTATCTCTCCCTGAGAACAGAGCTGGAGATGGTATCCTGTGATCCCAAATAAAGAATGATCAATCAGTAGGAAAATGGGGAGGGGAATTTTCCTGTAGACTTTTTTTGAGGATTTTCCCAGGGTCTCTGGTCCAAGGGATTTAAAATGATGAGTTTGGTGGTCCCTGAGGTCCAAAAGGCTGGCAACCCCTGATCTAGAATGGTCTTAAAACTCACTTTTTGTGCTGGGTTGAGATTTTCCATCCCTGTCCTGCTCATCTTTGATGTTGCTCCAAGGCTAGGGTCTTCAAACATGGCAAGTTTTAAGACTTGTGGACTTCAACGCCCAGAATTCCTGAGCTAACATGACTGGAGGAGGAGGAGGAATTCCGGGGCGTTGAAGTCCACAAATCTTAAAGCTGTCAAGTTTGAAGACCCCTGCTCCAAGGAAACCTTTTCTTTAAAAGGGAGGAACCCAAAAAACCAGCAGGCCACAGGAGAAGCCAAGCCTTTCTCCGAGGAATGTGTTTCTTCTCCAACTAGGAAGGTTTTATGGGGACGAGGAGCTAATTGCAAGAGAGCTGTGGCTCAGTGGGAGAGGACAAACTGAAGGATCTCAGCAGGATCTTTCTTCTGAAAAGATCTCCAAATTGTCAGTGGGCAATGGGCTTTTGAAGGAAGATCCCAACCAGATGTTTTTCATTTGGCATCCCAACTCATGAAGTTCCCCTTAGGCACACAATTGTCGAAAGAGTCGAGTTCTTTGATTTAATTGACTTTTTGTTTTAAAGGATCTGTTCACTTAGATCAGGGATCTCCAAAGTTGAAGACTTGTGGACTTCAACTCTGTTGAATTCTTCAGCCTGCCATGCTGAGAGGAGAAGAGAAGAGCCCCATGATGGTTGGGGGATTCTGGGAGTCGAAGTCCACAAGACTACCAGTTGACAAGTTTGGATGGTCCAATTTGTGGTCTAAATGAATAGAATAGAATATCGGCCAAGTGTGATAGGATACACAAGGAATTTGTTTGGGTCCAATCACACTTGGCCAATAAAGAATTCTATTCTATTCATTTAGACCACAAATTGGACCATCCAAACTTGGCAACTTGTAGTCTTGTGGACTTCGACTCCCAGAATCCCCCAACCATCATGGGGCTCTTCTCTTCTCCTCTCAGCATGGCAGGCTGAAGAATTCAACAGAGTTGAAGTCCACAAGTCTTCAACTTTGGAGACCTCCTGACTTGGACAACCCCGAAGCTGAAATCAATCTGCATTGAAAGCAAACTTTAATATGTCTTGACCGTGGGCATTTGAATCATCTCAGGGGCATCCTAAAGGGCCTGATAGGGGAACAAGGGGAGAGGGTGGCTTTGGTTCTCTATGTAGTTTCTCCTTGGTGGAGATACCAGGTTTGGTGGATGGCAACCTTCCAGTAGTGGTATTCAGCCAGTTCTGACCAGTTCTGGAGAACCACTGGTAGCAGAAGTGTTGAGTAGCTTGCAGAACCATCAAATACTACCTCTGACTGGTCCCGCCTCCATCTATTCTCCACCTCCCGAGTCTCAACTGATCGGCTGGGTCTTCTTTGGTTGCCCTGCACAGGAGAACGGAGCTGAAAAGCAGGTTAGTGGGGTGAGGAGGGAATGGGATTTTGCAGTAACGTTACCCTGCCACACCCACCAAACCATGCCCACAGAACCGGTAGTAAAAAAATTTGAATCCCACCCCTGCAACCTTTTCTGAAATTGGAAAAGATCTATGAGCATTGCCTGCAGAAAAAAAATTACATCTCGGAAAGGCAGAAGTTAAGGAAAAAAAATACCCCGGAGAGAAAGTGTTTGGTCTCAATCTGATCCTTATTCCCACCCCTGTGTTGACTGCAAGGAATGAAATATGAGTTCGGAGGCTACTCATTCATTTTAAAAAAATCTTGATTTAAAAAAAAAATAAACATCCCCTGAAAATAAGCCCAAGTGCTTATTTTGGGGCCCCAAAGAAAAGAAAACCAGGTCTTATTTTTGGGGAAATGCAGTATTAACTAGTAGCATTTCTTCCTTTATTTCTGCCTTCTCTGAGATGTGAATGGTGAATGGTGGCACACCATTTTTTCTGCAGGCAACCCTCATAGTAAGTGCTTCGTCCCACCTCAAGTTGCTCCTCCGTTCCCCGATACTAAGTTTTCCCCTCTGCAATGAAATTTCCTAGATTCAGCTGGCTTCCAGAGGAACACCCCATCCAAGCACCCCACTCTCTGGATGGTATCCTTGGAGACCTTATCAGCAGAGCCAGAGAGAGAGAGAGAGAGAGAGAGAGAGAGAGACTGGATGATTAAAACCAGACTTGACAATGCCTTCATGCTTTTCCCATGCTCTTCCCAGCAGGCCACCTCCAGATAGTGCAGGGCGTCCAATGGCTGCTCTGCTGCAGAACATGTGGCCTGGGATCTCGTTGCTGTATTATGTTTGGGGGAGTACCCGTCTCAACATCTGGATCCAACTAGCAGCAGCCAACGCGGTTGTGACTGGAACTGTGACGGGGCTTATTTCCTCGGGTCGTTGCATCCAACAGGGTAAATGGCCTTTCCAGCTTCTAGGAGACTAAGATGGGCTCCGTGGAAGATGCTTTCGTGGCTACCAGGAAGGACAAAACAAAGATAAAACATGGAAAGAAGGAAGTGGGGCGGGGAATCCATTTTTTGTCCTCCAAAATACAGATGACACACAACGGAGAAACGGTGCCTTTGGCTCTAGTAATCCCAGCTCATTGGAAACAATCTGGAATATCTCACACCA